AGGCAATGTGAAATTAATAAATGTAATATTCATTCATTCAGCCTAATCAAAGCTTGACTAAATAAATTATAGTCTAGTATTAATGACTGCTTTGAGAGAAATAGTTGTTTTTATACGCTCAAGGGAAGGTTAGAATTGTGCTATTGCCCCGAGGCGTGCCGAGGGCAATACCCCAATTGTAACCTTCCCGAGAGCGTATAAAAACAACTATTTCTCGAATATTAAAGCAGTCATTAATACTTTTATATGCCGAAAACAAAAGAGTCAACTAATATCACCACCTTGGCCTTTCTCTAGTTTATCTGCGCGGTTGTTTTTTATGAGTGTATCTTTGAGAGTAGACTAGATCTAGATTCTAGTCTAAGACTAAGCAAGATACTTTTACAATTTTGCGGGTGGGCCGGCTCTTTGGGAGATATGGAGAAGAATCTGCGCTTTCATATGACACCTCACTTATTGAGTATCACCTTCAGGATCACAACAGATAAAGGTTTGAATCTCGAATTGAAAAAAAAACTTGACTTTTTTTGCATGGTCGCGCAATGCACGTAGACTACATAGAGACTGCATTGCGTGCAATCTCTATGGGAAGAATTTCTGCACACGACATCGGGTGCGCGATCAGACACCCAGCTGGACCTATTTTCGTCTACGTCTATGCTGGTACTCCATTTTCAGCAACTAAACGAACATGTTTATGGATAATTTCACGTACCCTTTTTGTTGTTCTTGCTGTCAGCGAGTCTTGCATTTGATAAGTTGAAATCTTGAGAGAGTTTCTTTAGCCATTTTTGTCTTGTTTGGAATTGTCTTGTCTTGTATTCTTGTATTCTTCGCACACGTACGATATCCTCGATCGCTCAAACCATTTTTTAACACGTAAACCTATGGGTAACCATGGTTACTGGGATTTTAGAACTATTTTTAGAACTATTTTCCCGGTAACCATGGTAACTGGGATAGAACTATTTTTTAAAACTATTACATGGGTTTGGAATTTTACCAGGAATTTTACAGGAATAGTTAAAGTTTATGAATGCAATTTCGACCAATCAGATGGCCGGATTTCTTAAGTGAGGTATATAATTTGCTTTATTTTAAATAGTGAAGGACTTTAATAGGCCTACTAGATAAATTGGCTTGACTAAATAACGTAATAATCTATTAAACGCGCGCTTTGGAGGGTACATTTTTGGAAGTTAGGGGGGGGGGGGCAGGGTAAAAAGTGTCAGTGGATCCGAGTCCCTGGGGACTTGGATCGGGCTTGGATCACGATAATGCTGATAATACTTTACCGATGATCAGATTCCAAGTAAAGTTTACTATAAAGAACCAATTCCTACATTCAGAAATTATTTTTCGGTGACTGATGTGTCAGATGTGATCATTCACAAAGGAAATGCCAGCACACAAACAAATAACAGTTCCTCTGTCAGCTCTCTTTATGTTCATGTGACCTTTTGAAAAGTTCGTTCCCGATTTCGGCGCATGCGCAGTGTGCAATTACGACCTCGCTTATTAAGTATCGTCATAAGATGTAAAAATCAAATCGGGTACCTTAAAGGTATAGACCAGTTCTGTGCTGCGATTGCATTGTGAATCGATCAGAAAAGGTTGATCATCTAGCATATAAGTGTTGATGTATACTTGAAGGTTCTGGAATCATTAAAATTATAAGAACTTTGGCTCAGTATTGGTAAAGTTACAAGCACTGTACACAAAAAGATTTATATATTGGACTATGCGATATCTATCCAGTCCGGATAGATATGATGATTTACCAAATATATCAATTAGAAGGCGGTTTCCCGGCAAAATTTGTATCATCACGTAATAGTCAAAAATTATTCTTTCACATGATTGGTAATATGAGCTTCCATTTCATTTTTTGAGAGGGGGCGTTTTAAAAACTAGTCTATATTTTTAAAGCTACCCGACACTGTCCCGTTTTTCGATCCCTCTCTTTATTTCTCTCTCTTCCTCTCTCGCTCACCCAATCTCTTCTTTTATCTTCCCTTCCCATTCCTCATCTCTCGCAACCTCCCGAATCCCTACCCCCCCCCCCTCTTCCGCCCCCCTTATCCTCCCCTACCCCCTCTCCTTTATACCACACACTCTCTCTCTCTCTCTCTCCCCCCTCTCTCTCTCTCTCTCTCTCCTTCCTCTCGCTATTTTTATACTTACATGTAATTATAAAAGTCGCTGCGTAAATTATTCTACGTAGGTATTATACCCTATTCTTCCTGCATTCGGTATGGGGCGGGGCGGGCTAGGGCCGGTTGAAGTAATAAACTGGTAAAATATACATATAGTAGCATTTCAGGGGATTGTAACTTCCAATTACAAGATGGAGCCATGCCAGGCCAAAATAGGGGCAAAATTCAGATTCCTTCTTAATCACCAAACATGCGAATTGTGAGAATGACAGTTTATAACACTTCAAAATGATCCCTCAAATTTACCTACTTCGGAAAATTTCAAACTACTGAATTCATGGGAGCAGCCTGTGCCTCGAAAAAAATTTCAACAAAAATATGGCGCCATTATAAAGGCTGCAAGTGAATGATCGTCGTTTATATCATCATCCTCATCATCAGCACCACACGCAGGATTTTTTCAAGAGGGGTGTGTGAAAATTTGGAAATCGCGCAAACCGATATTTTGCTCAGTGGGGGGGGGGGGGGGGAGTGAGAGAATTACTTATTTTTGCCCTCGCAAATGTGAAAGTCGCCCCGCCCGATATTTTGCTCAGTGGGGAGGTAAGGGGTATTCATTTCTTTCCACAAACCAAATTGAGTGGGTAACCCCCAAAACACCCCCTGCGTACGCGCCTGATCACCACATCATTATTCTGCCAAATATTACAAATAGCCACATGATAATAAGTTTATCAATACATAATGTTTTATTTTCCACGTATTCTGGACTGGTAACTATAGGCTTATGCTATAATATATAGCATATTTCTTAATTTGATTTACAACAAAAACACTCTAGACTATATGGTAATATTTTAATCATGCCTTGCAGAATAGGCTATTGAAATGTCGAATAACATCGGTCGTAATAACTGTTAATGATATCAACAATTTGGCCTATGAATTTTACCTGGGAGTTGCTGAAAAATCTTCGAATCCAGCAGCATAAGTAGAAAAGTTATTTCCTTTAGAAATTCATGTTAATATGGGAAAAGAAATATTGAATCGCTTGGTAATTGTGCATAGACATGTAGGAATTTAATTACTAGCCCTAAACAAATTTCTATATACTGATGGCAAAGGGTTACTGTGATAAATTGCGACTCCCATCTCACAAAACACACAATGAACGGCTACGCCCCCCCCCTGTTCATATTTTCGAATACTTCTACAAAGTTAACAATTTTGTGAACAAGTTGTTTAAAAGTTTAAACAACTCTTGATTAACGGGTGACCTGATCTGAAAGTTGTTTAAAATGTTAAGCATCTCGAGTTGTTTAAAGTTTAAACACTTAGTTGATCAACATTTTGAACAACTTGTTTAAAATCACAATTTAAACAACTGGTGTTGTTTAAAGACGGTTGTTTAAAATGGAGCTGTTGTTCAGTGGGGGTTGTTTAAAGAAAGTTGGTTAAAAAGGAGCTGTTGTTCAGTGGGGGTTGTTTACACCAACTGGGTTGTTTAAAGAAAGTTGTTTAAAAAGGAGCTGTTGTTCAGTGGGGGTTGTTTACACCAACTGGGTTGTTTAAAGAAAGTTGTTTAAAAAGGAGTTGTTGTTCAGTGGGGGTTGTTTACAACAAAAGGGTTGTATAATGGCGTATAATTTGGGTTTGATACTCTGAATAAGTGCACCACTACTTCTGGGTCTCTATGTTATAGGTATATAAAGACTAACAATATGGTAGGGTAATTCTGCAATTCATGAATTAGCGCCAAAACAGTGCCCATTTTGCATGAGCGCGCATGCACGCACGTATAAACTGCATTATATAGGGATGCATGCAATCTCTATGGCAAGGAATTTAGCACAATATAACCGAGTGCGCGATCAGTGCCGCACTGCATGACGCGACGATTTTTATTCTGACATTTGCGTACAGATACTGAAAATTTTAACTGTGATATAAGTTAAAAACTTCAAATTGGTTAATAGAAAAGTGATTTCAATTACTGAAGCCATTGAATCCCCAGTCACTTAGAAGCGCGTCGGTAGCTTGGTAGGCCATGATGTGTGTTGTGTTGTGGGTTGGAAAGTAATAACTATTAAGCTTAATAAATGTAAGTATAGAGACAAACAAAATGGAGCCTGCAGAAACACATGTGGTTGCTTTGGTAGTTTAATCCAGACCCAATATCCATGTGCTTTTACATAATTATGTATCAATCTGTGTAGTCAACAGAAGACCCTTGCATACACTTGCATTGTGTGTATGCATCTAATATGAATAACAATGAGCTGTGCCCAAACAGCTGCACTGCATTTCTAAGTGGCATGTTAATTTCAATTGCATGTTAGTTTCAAGGAACCTGTTTCTAAACATAACAATGTTAAATAAAGCTTTTAGCCAACGCGCACTTTACTGGCACGAGACACATGACGTCATATGTAAACAACACTGTCTAAAAGCTCTCGTATAGTAAATAAAGCAGTCATTAAATTTTAAACAGCGAATGTTTAACAAAATTACTTTCGTTTCGAGCAACATTGTTTACAATTTGTTCAACTGTGGTTTAAGATAGTGTACAACTGTAAGTGAACATCACTTTTTAAGCAGCGTTTTTACTGTGTATATAGTCTTCGTCTTTGCCATAGTTACAATCGCTCTGATCTTCAACTCTAACATATTATGCATTTTTGGACCGATGCATAAAAAAGCTTACATTATGTGGCTTATTTTCATTGGCTTCATTATACGATTCAGGATACAGAAAAGCCATTATTTCCAGAAAGGTGGCAAAGACCATCAACCTAAACCTGAATTTTCGGACAAATTAAAAAAAGCACCAACAACAACACTATATCAGAATCTAAAATTTGAAACACATCGGATCATTTTATCTTCCACATGCAAGGATAAATAAATTAATAATCAAATTATTAGAGGATTTATCGATATAATGCTAAATACATTTTTTTTCTCTTAAAGATTTACAAACAGAAAATATATATGGGGAGGGATTTCACAATGTCGAATATTAGATCCCCCTCTCCCCTTTTTATGAAAGTTTTGAGTATGGAAGTGAGCGAAATTGACACTTATTGTATTGTAGATTCATTTTTTTGTATAACAATGTACTAATTATAAAGGAGATTTTAACATATTCTAATAGACTACCTATAGGTGCCATTGATATGAGGCAACTGGTGCCGAAATATGATTGCAAGGGTGTTTTTAATTACCCAATCTTGAGGAGCTTAAGATCAGCAGGCCCTCATCCCACCTCGTACGCCCATTATGGGGGGGGGGGCATGCATACCCCGCAACACCCCCTCCATCTAGAGGCACCCTATATGATCTCAGTCTAATTTTGCTTTCCTCTTTCCACAAACCATTCGACAACATAAACGAACCCCAAATATAACTATAAGAAGAAACGCTGTGGCAAGCAGTAGAAGAAATGCGAGGACGTCGATCATGAAAAACTCAATGAGGGAAAGATCCCTTGCAGATGTTTTGAGGTACTGTCCGCCATATTTGATCACGTGTTCAATCCAGAATGCTGCGCGTTCTCGTGCCTGCATGGGCCTTTCTCTGATGATGGTAGCAACCTCTTTAGCCACTGCAGCGTACCTGTATTAAGGGAAAATGTTATTAGTTAAAATTTGTTCTTTCTTTCTTTTTGAATTTGCATTTCCAGTCAAGTGCTTAATTAACCACTCGACTATACGACACCTCGACATAACTCCCACTTTCTGCTCTACAAACTCACTTTGGATCACTGATGACGTCCTGTAAGGTATCATAGATAACATCAGCACTGGCAGCCATCTTGTCGATCTTCCTGCCCATCCCTCGAGCTACGACCCTGGCGGCGACGTCGAACTGGTCCGCGTGGAGCGGGACGACGACTATGGGTACACCGTGATAGCAGGCTTCCTGGAACCCGTTGTTGCCTCCCTGATAAAGAAATACTCGGGTCTTTGGATGACCTTTGAGTAGAAGGGGTAGACAATATTTTGTTTAGATGGATAATTATATAGGATACGGAAAAAATAAGAGGGATGTATGATATTGGATATAGAATAGTTTGTTTTGTGCCTTGTTTTTTTTGGAATGCATTGAGCTAACTTTCAGATGGTATTTCCAAATAATCTTTTGATATTGGATTGGAAAGTTAAACATCAATATATATATTTTGACGTCAGTTTTTATTTGACAAAAAGAGGTCTTTAAAACCAACCGACTCGAACTCTGAGTAATGTGATTTGTTGTCGGTCCCGAGTCGGTATTTGAATGGTGTACACTAGCTACAAGTCGCTCACACCGGGGACTTTCCACTTCTCATTTGTATGAAACACCCCCCTGGTCACACAGCCAAACTGACTCAAAACATGCAAACAAAACATACCGATTATTCTCGCTCATTTGAAGCACTGCAATTTTGTTCGGTCTGTTTTACTTTGATATGCAACATCATATTTTGATTTCGGCTCATACCCCCACCCCCGGCCCCCCCCCCCCCCCCCCCACTCAGGTTTCGAAATGACCGCATGCGTGTTGCCAAAATGTCCGGTAAAGGGGTACTTTTCGTGCGACAAAGTCCGGCCCGAGAATTGTAAAAAAAAGGGGTGTATTTGACTTTTCACCCGGAGATTTCTTTAAAAAGGGGGTGTTTTTTCTTTTTTTCTCTCATCTCTTTGGACTCCTGAGAAATTATTCCGAATTTAGGGGGATACATTGAGCATTTTTCCTGATTTAGGGGGGTCTCCAAGGCAGGAAAAGCCCGCGAAAAGCCCGCGAAAGGGGGGTTCGGAAATGTTGGCAGTCCTCAGATAGGGGGTGCTTTCAAAAAGAGGGAACGAGCATATGCGTACCCTAAATAACACTGAGTGGGGGGGGGGCCGGGCCCCCACCCCCTTCCCTCCAAGGAAAAGGACAAGGACATCATCACTCCCCCAAACTCACCCAGTAGATCATTCTGAGGTACCCAGGGCATGACCTTCACGTTTGGAGGAACGTCGATTACGCCGAGTGGATCCTCCACCTGCCAGATCACCTTCTGTGGCACTCTGCGGAAAGCTTCGGCAAACTGCTCGGCAAATCCCGGTTGAATGATCGTTATCTCGCCGAAGTACGTTCCGAGGGTGAAGAGAATGACACCATGGTCGCCTGAACCCTCCATGAAATCTTCTAGTTCCTGATGACGTAAACATTGGTCACGTATCAATTAGGATATGAAATAAAAACGCTAAGACTTTCGAGAAAAAAAGCACCCTCAGACAATTTAAGTATAAACTTGTCATGCACCCCCCCCCCCCTGTCTGTTGTAAATTCTCAACTGCCATGGAACCTACGCAAATCGTTTATTATATTAAAAAAAGATGCTGACAAGTTTGTTGACCAATCAATTTTTCATCAAGCAAACAAAAAAATAACAACAAAACATGCCAAACAAAATTGCTCTTACTGCGCGAAAGGTCCTAGACATTTACATAATTTGACAATAGATTAAAACAAACAAAAATCGTCTAGTAGAAGGAATATAGCCCCGTAATTATAAAGTTGCTCACCTGGTCAAGTTGTGTAGGTGGCCATGCTGTCAGCCCACCTCCGACTGGAATCACATTTGGTGATATCGGGAACGGGAACTCGATGGCGAAATCAAAGTTTTGAAGGTGTAAGTCGGCAAGATCGTTCATGAGAGACATCTTTATGCTCATGACATCTTCAAGTCCTGTGTTCTCCCCTACGCGCATGTAGACCGGTATGGTCAGAGCAGCACCAAGCACCGCGTAGACAACAGACTGCAGGAGATTGGCTGTCCTCTCTAAGAAACTCATCCTGTCGGTAAAACCCGTGTTGAGTTCTGGTTGGTATGCTGGATTGTACGAGGAACCGTACGAAAACAACGCAATAGGCTGAGGTGTGAAAGGTGTCAGAGTCACCAGGGCTATCTTCTTCGAGTAGTTCAGGTTGCGTTCCAGCGCGGCTCTGATCATTATACCACATATCCAAGTCATATCGACAACGATAGCGTCGACGTCCTCCAGGCGCTTCATGAGCTCGATATCGAGAACGAGATCCTCGCAGTCATCTGCCATCGATTCGATCAAGTAGTACACAGTCTTAATGAGACCATCATCACCTTTCCCAAGCGAAAGAACACCGAAGTTCTTCCAGAAATCTCGGACCTCTTGAAGGGACCTCTTGTGATGGTCAAACACTTCGAACGATAGATTGGAGTACTTGGGCTCCCTGGTACGGTGTTCGTATGCTCTGCTGATGAGAAGTGTGGCGTTGTGTCCTCGCTGGACCAGGCCTTCACCAATGGCGGCACCAAGGAAGAAATGACTCCCTTCCCCATGCATTGATGATATCAAGACATTACTACCAAACACACAACATGATAAGAACATTACAAGAAGATTAAACCAGGTTAATCTGGTAGAAATCACACCAGAAACATTAACAGCCATATTAATTGATTTCAATGTTCATGAATTTCGATCTTACAGTGCTTCTATAAGGAGGTGACAGCCTGCAAGCCCTGCATGTAAGTCTGTGATGAGTCACTTCATATCTGAATCTGGAGAAGTTTCACAGAAATATCCTTCACTTCTTAGCATACTTTGAAATACACACAAACTGGCAGAGGTTCGTGGAACAATATAATGGTGTTTTTTTCCCCCGACAAGATAACATGGCAAAGTCAATTATACCAGACCCACCGTTCAGTGCCGATATTTACCTTCTCTATTTGATTATGATGTAACGAGTTTGCTAATGTGTTTGTTAAACTGACTGCCGATATCTGATTTCCAAAAATGGACAAAATGTACCACCTTTATATCATTATCTGTTTTTGGATAATGTGAGACCAAATTAGGCTATGAATATTATTGATCTAGTTCGTTAATTGGCAAATGATGCCTTTGAAATGTTAATGTAGCGTCTTTCAAGAAGTTTGAGCAGCTTTTGTCGTCATGATATGAATATCAGCCCCTCCGATCCCCTATCTCTCTCTCTCTCTCTCTCCCTCTCTCTCTTTCTTCTCTCTCTCTCTCTCTCTCTCCCTCTCTCTCCTCTATCTCTCTCCCGCTCTCTTTATATACATTATATGTCTTTATCTCTTCCTCTGTCTCTCCCGTTCTGTCTCTCGCCCCGCCTCTTTCTCAATCTCACCATCTTTTATACCCCCCCCCTTCTCTCTCTCTCTCTCTCTCTGATCATTTTGGTCAGACCCCTTCTGAAAATTGGAAAACTTGTATGGATCATGTGTACTGTGCTATCAATTTGCCAATTTTCCGTTCACTGTTCTAAAGGTCTAGGTTTTTATAAACGTGTCTAAATGTTGTACTTGAATAAAACCAAAGCAAATCACTTTCTGTCACAAATTTTCCTTCCATCTAGCTGTCCCTTCTCGTCTTTCAAAATGAACATTTTATATGAAGTCCGAAATGCATGGATGATCAAAATATAACATCAATTTTCTTTGTTGTTCCTTTTTTTTTTTAGTAATTCAAACAAAGCACTAAATGTTGAATTCAAGCTTGATATGTTCTTATGCGCGCCCATTTCGGACGACGACATCGATATTTAAGTAGAGTACGTTATTGTTATAATTAGTAGTTAGTATCATTATTATAATATTATTATCATAATTATGGCGACCCCCCCCCCTCCCCTTTCCTACTCCACCATCCCTGGATGAACAAAAATTGATATGCCCCAGATTTCCCCAGACTAAACTTAGTTTAGACCAACTGTTCATTTATATTAAATCCGAAAAAAATTATCTTTGAATTTGCATAAAATTTGCATAAAATAGTGGTAGTGAAGTCATGGTTGGTGGGAGCTAGACGATATCGACTGGGGATGGCACTGGACTTGCTATGCCGGGTCGTGTTTTCGTGTTCTCACTTTCCCATTTTGTTCACGTACCCGACCTCCCCTCGGCTCGTTCTCGACCCCAAGCGCTGTCCTATTCCGTGGATAAAGATTCATAATAATAAGATCTTTAAATTGTTTTTCCCCAACCTCTTTCCACCTCCGCCCCTCCCTTTTCTCTCTCACTTTCTCCCTGTGATGAAATTGTCTTCTCTGTCTTCTCTCTCTCTCTCTCGCCTTCCCTTTTCGTTTTCTCTCTTCTCCGTCTTTTTTGTTCTTTTCTCTTTCTCTTTCTCTTTGGGCCCTCATCAGGCTCCACTCTGTGTCTCCTCTCTCTCTCTCTCTCTCTCTCTCTCTCTGTCTCTCTCTCTCTCTCTCTCTCTCTCACACACACACACACAATACTCGATCTTGCTCACTACTACATGTACTGTATTGTTCAAGGTCTTTCCAATTAATTTCTTCATTACATATTTATCATTGTAAAGTCTAATGGATGTTGTTTTGAAATGTCATGCCAACACGATCACAGAGACTTTAAAGAAATAAACTAGATAGATAGATTTTTTAAATTTGTATTGATCCATATTCAAAACATAGAAAATTGGCCTCCACCATTCGCTTGTATAATTTGCATATCTATATCATGCTTATTATATATCAGATATGCTTTACATATATTTTTCGTATTTTGCACGCTGCTCCGAATATGAAACCGGAGCAGGCAATATTTGCCATATTGCCCTCTTCCTGGTTTCCCCGTAAACCACTGTACTAAATCAGAGGGCAATAATAACGGATGGCCTTGAGTACGATACAAGAAAACATAATGCAAAGTGTCCTGGTTCACTTTTCAAAATTAACGAAAAACTTTAAGTTCTGTTAGTAACCGTATCGGTAAGCCAAATTTCACAGATCAAAACAAAACTGACACCGAATGGAACTATTTAAATATAAATGAAATAAATATAAGTTTTTGAATAATACCTGAAATTTAAATAAATTTTCATCATGTTAAACAAGTTTCTATATAAGTCTATTGGCTAAGCCAAAGAACTTATTATAGTGATACACAATATGTAGCTCTTCACGAAATGCAGTTCCACCATCAAAAGTTGACTTGTTCTTTAAGAAAGCATTTGTTCCCGCACCACTGATAAAAAATGGGAAAACGGTGAGAGATCGGCTGGAAAAGTGCCACGAGTCTCGGGCAATCCTGTAATGCATGCTACAGCACATTCAATAGGATAGGGAAGAGTATATTTTAGCTAAATAGATGTTGTTCAAGGTGGGGTAATACCTGAGATCCCATGAGTCTGACAAAGCAAAGATAGACATAAATGAATATAAAATTTTGTTTTAATGGTCACAAAAGGACAACGAGACCAACGGAACAAAAGACCGACATCCCACGAGACAAAATTAATGACGGTCTGGTTGGAAAGTTATCGGTCCCATACAAGCGTGCGTCGTAGGTCTTGAACCCTCTGAAAAGTGGCTAGACTGCCCATGATCGAGAACGACACGGTTGGTATAGTTAGTTAGCTGTTGGTCCTGTGGGCCGTCAGTCTCTCTATAACGTTGTCAGTGCAGGCCTGCGAGACCAGCAAGGTCGGTCTCGTGTGCTTTCGGTTTCTTGGACTACAGTCGTTCAAGGTAATTTCGTTAAGCATATTAAACGTGGCTTAATAATTATTTTCTCCATCATCGCTGCATTTTCCTCAGGATCTTTAATACTGAGTGGTTGGTTCTTGTCCATTCTATGCACATCAGCATCTATTGGGATAGCCCAGGGTTGGACATCGCCTGAGCCGAATACAAGAAAGACGAGGGCACTGATGAGAGTGATTGCGGCCGTGATGATAAATACAGTCCTCCATCCCTCAGGGTCGGCCTGAAAGTATGGGAGAGAGAGAGAGAGTGGATGTTCGACAGTAATTAAAAAATTAATATGCATTATTTGGCGTCATTCAATTCCCTCCCAAACTTTAATTTTTTTATGTGTGAAAGTGTAGCGACAAATGTTACAGTGCATTCATTTATAATTCACTGGTATACATATTGTGTTTTTAATCCAAAATGGCCGCTTTAGAAGTCATTGAGAGTTCGAGGATTTGGTATTACGCCATGTCCTCAGAACTGGTTTTAACTCGATTTATTATATAACGATGTTTATTCATTAGTATTTTGATCACATGACCAATTAACATAGATGTACGCGTATTTATTCATAAGTATTTAGATCACGTGCCTTATTAACATACATGTGCGCTTGTTTTGAACCAATCGCGCTGTAGTTGATTGGCGCTTTTCTGATTTTCCTGTGCGGGAATCAGTGAGCTGTTTTAATATTGGTATACACACATGCTGTTATTGTGTTGATATTTGTACCTAGAAAATTGTATCCAACGAGGATTGAACTGCTACGTCCCCGGACCATTCCCGGTGGACGTGCTCACCTATTTACATCTTGTACGTTTTGCAAGATATATTTTGACTCTCTCGATGTTCAACATTGACGACACTTTAATTCACCAGCAGTGAGAATAGAACATTTAATATGATCTAACGTTTTTCTCACCTGCATTATTGTTTGACAACCTTTTATCATCGACTTCATATATATTGTCTCGACATTTGATTCTTCGACCTGCATCGCAAGTCACTGAAGTTGATCTATTGACATTGACTGCATCATCATTGTATTCATCTGTTAACTGATTCATCATCGTTGTCTTCATCACCGTTGTCTTCATCATCGCTGTCTTCACCAGCGTCGTCTTCATCGTGGACTTCATCATCGCTGTCTTCACCAGCGTCGTCTTCATCATTGTTGTCATCATCGTTGTCTTCAACATCGTCTTCATCATCGTGGTATTCACCTAGCGTCGATCATCGTCTGCATATCCTACGCGATCGACAACCAGCTCGTCGACCACTGTTTTCGACTAGTTAGTTTCTACATCTACCTAGAACTTGAAGAAGATCTACTTTGAATTCAACTCCAATGACTCACGTAACGTTAATTATATCGTGATTTATGCTTTGCATTGTTTATCATTGTGAGGCCTTATTTTGACTGACTGAGTGCCTGTTGTTGAGTGCGTACGCTTACTAACACATATTTTACATGTTTATAATTGCACTAGTTCTAGGCCTATGCCTGGTCTACTGATCTAGATCTGCTATAGTCTAGATCCACCGATATATTGTTGTATTCTCGTGTTGTGCATTCCGTACACATACACAAGTAGAGATTTGTTTAGCGGTTTCTTGAACCACAATATTTCGTGCCTATGTAAGTAAATCTAAACGCTGTCTAGCTTAGATTTGAGTAGTATTTTCTTGACTGTTATTATTCATGCAGTGTGAATGATATTTAACTGACTTGTTTTAGTACTGTTTTAAGTTGTACTGAACAGCTAGACTCCTGATATTTCGAGACTTGTATTCAGCGGTAATCATTAATACCATAGTGACTAAGTTGAGTCTCCTTTACATTAATGTGCTGTTGGAAGTTATCTATGTTTGATTATTAATAGTAACTACCAAGGGCCTAGTGATAGTTTAATTGTCTGTCACTGTTGAGATAGACAGAAGAGGTTTCTGATAATTCTGTAATCATTGTATCTTATGTGAAATTATAGAATATAGAACCAGTTTTTAACCATAATCAATTTGTCTGGATGTGATCATTTATTAAGTGTTTTCTTGTCTGGAGGGATACTGCTTTTAGTAGTTTAATTAAAAAAGGGAATTATGTGGGATTACTAGTTAACACGCAACATAGTCCATACCCCATGTAGTTTTCTAAAAAAGCATATTTTCCTCTCTCCTGGAATGATGCCTTATTATTTAGAAATGTTCAGGGATTTGAAAGAAATTTTAATACATGTACATTTCTTTTTAAATACGATCTAATTTACTTTGTATTATGGTAATTTTCGTACAATCCATGCAATCAAATAACAATTGAGTCACTTCGATTGCGTTAAACCTTCCTCATTCTAGCATGTATAAAAGACAATGAGCCCATACGCCAGTTACTACAATTATTATTCACATTGTTCATATTTTCACTTATCTTTGGTACGTCAAGCATGACGCTTTATGAACAATGAGATTTGGTCCTGTACCGCTAAGTAAAATTACTTGATTATGATAGAACACATTGTGCATGAGGTGTCTTGGGTTGACGTATGACTGCGTCAGCGACGTGCACGGCATTTGACGAGTCATTAGTATTGACGTACTGGCGCATGCCTCCATAAGCTTGATAAGGGTAGGTTTATACACTCTTAATTTCAGCGAGTAAATATTGTGCCAAGTAAAACAAGCTGAGTAACAAATTGAGCAATTCAGTACTCAAGCTGGAGTAAGAAATAAATTTTAGTGGTACTCGTCATCCGAGTAATTTGTTACCTTCGATAAAGAGTAAATCAATGACTCAACATTGAGTAAAGCCTCGGTCACAAATGCCATTACGAACTGCTACGAACGCCGTACGAACGATTTTCAGACAATGGAAATTCGAGAAGACAATGGAAAACCAGGGAGGTTCGTACGAAATTATCGTTCGTACGAACCTTTGTGACCGTAGCACAAGAACTTCGTTTGTTTCAATTTTGAGTAAACTACGGTTGGATATTAGCTGTCTCGTGCATGCATGTGCGCGTGCAGAATGATGCAAAAGAACTGAGATAGATGTGACACATTGGGAAGAAATTCTGAGCTCATGGATCGAGCTTTGAAGAGCTCCAACCGACATTTCTAGGTAAGAAATCCTCATGATATTAATATTAAATGAGCTACCGTGTGATATTTAGTCAAGTCTCAAGGACACTGTGTTGATCAAGATTGTGAAATTATTGTTGTCACTGTCGATGACATTAATTTGATTGTGAACTTGGGCAATTCTCTAAGGGCGAGCGTGCATGTATTAATTTAGTGACCGGTAATAGCTAGCCTATTTGTACTAAACACGTATTTGCCTGGGGTAGACCTATTGATGCAGATGGTTCTAGGACAAATCGGCCAATTACCAGCGGGACAATTACCCCCCCCCCCCCCCCCAGAAAATATCCCCTTGGAGACAACCACCCCAGATGACAATTACCCCTAGAAAATTACCCCCAAGGACTCGGAGTAGGACAACTTTATCAAAACCAATTAGTTGTTATCATCCTATCGAAACTCAATGCACATAAATTAACCTCTACCTTGTTAATCCCTACCATATTAACTACATATCAAAATGTTATCATTTTAGGAAGGAACTGGATTTGATTTTTTTTTTCTGGCCTCCTTCAGAGGAAGGAGCCAACTGTTTTTTGTTGGTGCTTTGAGGAACACCAAGGAAGCCAGGATAGTATTACGTAGTCCTCGAGAGAAGCGCCTATTCATGCTCTGCATTGACAGCAGCAATTGCTACAAGATATTTCTAGTACTACAGCTGGATTACCCTGCCCAGTCAGCTGTCATACGGGACTTCTTTGATTGTCTCATTTATGGAATTCATACCAAGGATTTTATTAACCATGGACCCTAGTACAGATGGACTAATAATGAGAATCTTTCTTTGATCACCTCATTACCACCGCCACCTGATAATGTGTATGTTGATGAGGACATTTATTTGACGCGACAATGTTTATTATGTAATCACGCATCACCACAGACAAAAGAACTTTCACGTTTCTTTGAAATTCAGATACCGTCCGCCTTATGACTTTTTGGTATCCTTTCTTCAAACTTTGAGTTTTCACTGTGATTCAAACTGATTTTGGAAATTAAAGTCCACAAATTATGTTACTGAATTTAAAACGTCGTGGACTTTATACTATTTGCATAGTGTGTGAGTGAAGAACTTCATATCAATGCTAAATTTAGAAATCAGGCAAAATTATGGTTTATATTCTCTATTGACAAATAATGGTTACTTAACAGCTGTTAAAAAAAACACAATATTAATCAGCGGTTTAGTTAAACCCTTAGTCAAAAAGTTAAAACCCTAGTTGAATCCACCTTTGTTTCAATCAGTATTGAGTAAAAACATGTACTTAACTTAGTACATGTTTTTACTCAATATTGATTGAGCAACTAAGCGTTACCCAGAAAACATCATACTCAATATTTGAGCAAAAAATTGCTCAAACAATTTGAGTCAAAACATGTACTCGTTAATTGAGTAAAATTTGGCTCAACTCATGAGCAGTTTCTTACTCGACATGAGTTGATTACGTTTCTACCCAGATGCTGAGTAAAAAAGGGAACCGCTCAACAAAGGAGTAAATATTGAGTAAAGGTTGACTCATTCAAAATGAGTAGAGATTTAGTCCTTCATTGAGTAATATTTTTACTCAACAGATGAATAGATTTGTTACTCAACGCTCGAGCGCTGTAATGGCAACCCTGCTAAAGATAGGTCCAGTGATTGTAATATTGAACGGAGCACCGTGAGTGGCAATGTACGTGTTTAATAGACATGAGCGCTACACAAGACTCCGCCATTTGTTATCTTCGTGTGCAAAGGATCTTGAATTCTAAGAATAGTTACGACCGGATCGCACCTGATCCTCGGTAAACACTGCCGTCACGAGAGGGGCAATGAACCCCGATGTGACAGCGATGCCGTTGCCAATGCCGGTTACCGTGCCGGAGAAGCTAGGCGCGATGTCCAGAGCGTTGACGAAGGCAGCTGAAAACACCAAGCCCATTGCTCCATACATCACACTCATAAGTATAACGATGAAAGACGTGTTCCTTTGCACGACGAAAGAGATCGTTAAAAAACAAGCGGCCATTATCAGTGCTCCTGTAAAACAAAATAGAAAATGGGTAAGTTATGTTGGTGGAAAATGCTAAAGAAAGATTGTTTTAACTCTTTAAAAATGCAAAAAAAGTGTAGGCCTACTTGACTGCCATGACTGGGATTGAAAATTGAAGAGAGAGAGAGTGTGTGTGAAAGAGAAAGAGAAAGAGAGAAAAGAGAGAGAGAGGGAGAGAGAAAGGGAGAGAGAAAGGGGAGAGAGAGAGAGAGAGGGAGGGAGAGAGAGAGAGAGATAATTATATAGGACAGAGTGTGAACATGGGAAAGAGATATGCAGACGTACACACACAAACATATATATTGTTTCTTTTATTTTGTGTATTTTCTCAAACTCCGAGCAGCACACTATAATTTCACAGAATGTCTGAGTGTGCGTGTCTGTGACACAGAGAGAGAGAGAGAGGGGGGGGGGGGGCAGGGGAGAAGAATCTACTTTACCTGAACAAATTGTAAATTTCCGCACCGATGTTCTACTTAGGATATTTCGACCACTCAGAGCGTCTGCTATGGATGACGCAAGCAGTGAGATTATCCACTGACACACATATGGAATAGATGTTAGAAAGCCGACCTGTAGAAATAAAAGTACATGGATGTGGAATGGATGTGGAATGTAGGTTTTCATTCTCCAGCAGGCGCGTACACGGGGGGGGGGGGGGGGGGGGTGTTTGGGGGGGGGTTAAACCCCTCTTCCCCCCCCCCCCCCCCCCCATTTGTATTTTTATGTGTATAAACCCCCATAAAAATAAAAAAAAACACCCCCCTTTGTTTTTTTTTTTTTTTTTTTTTTTTAATAATAAACAAATTTCGAGACCAAAAAAAAAAAAAAAAAAGTGTCCTCTTACACCCCCCCCCCCCCCCCGCTTATTTGAGCCGGCTGAGTCGATGCGAAATTTTCGGCCCGATTTAAGGCAATCCACTCCAAAAATAACTTACTTTCAATAGGAGCAGAAAATTTCAGACAAACCAATCAAAAAAAGTTTGAGCAAAATCGGATCACTGATAAGATAGTTATGAATTTTTAATGACATTGAAAAAACTTTGAAAATCACAAGACAAATTTGCAACTCACTCATGAACCTGTGACGTCACTACCTCACTATCCACTACTAGTGATGGTTTTCTTTATATTTATATATTCTTAAACTGGCGGATACTTTAGTTACACCCGAGACCACCCCCCCCCCTTCTTTCCATTTAAAAAGTCTGGTGACAACCCTGATATCAATGACAGAAAACATCGGACTTACAGACAAAATCTCAAACCCCAATACGTGTTTGAAATAGATAGGGAGACTGCATGCTAAGCAGAAGTAAACAAAACCAGGAATGCCGAACAGGACTACGCAGAAGGCGATGCACGGTAACGAGAGTAAGATGGACCGGATAGGCACCTTCTTCGTACCCTAGAATATGGGAAGAAAATTCAAGAAATGAAGGTGATTAAGTGATAACACTGATGATGGTGATGCCGATGGTGAAGACGATGATGGCGATGGTGATGGTGAGGATAATGACGATGTTTTGTTTTCTTTCACATTTTCCATATTTTTCTGAATCTAATCTGAGGGCAAATTGTAAGCTTTTAAACTTTTCCCGTCTGATTTTACAACTTTGGTTTTTCTTCATGAACATTTCTTTTTTAAACCTTTCATGTATAGATAGCTGGAAGGTCGAGTGTTATTGATACGGAGTAAAACCTCAGTCTCATCGCAAACGGACTCCACAAACCGATTTAAAACGGACCAATCCTTTCCATTCGCGTAATATTTTGTTCGGTCTGTTTTCGGTCTATCGTCAACATAAGGCTCAATCACACAGGGAGTTCTCACCTCCCTGTATTTACACATCCCAGACACAAATTTGAAAAAAAAACGTAGATTTTTTTGGGGGGACTACCATTAACACTACTTGGAAAACCCACAAAACCGTCGAAGTTTTCTCATACCAATTTTGGGGTAAGTAGTGCGCATGCGCCACTTATTGGTGCCCTCCATGCGCTATATATAGCGCGGAAGCGTAATGAGGCATGTGAGTAAAATTTACTGAAGTTTGCATTTACACTGCAAAAATTCGTTGAAAACTCGGCAGTCGCCAGGCGTGTTTGCCGGTGAAATACCGGAATGTGAGAAAATCGACGATTATTGGTTGCAGTGTAAAAGCAGCTTATGTCTCATCAGTGTGACTTGGGGGTGCAGGGCGATCGCTAGACCTTTTTCATCGGAGGGGGGGGGGGGGTGTGGTGTAGAGCGGCCATCGATTACCGACAAATACATTAATGCCAATGTGCTAACTTAATGTCTACCAATTTAACCCTATAAACCCGAGGTCCGGGGCGCTAATTTTCCTACGGCCTATCTATACGTGCGCATGCGCACATGGTCATTTTCCTTGACCTAATAAATATACGGTTTATTTCGTCAAGACTAGTCAACATCGTAGCTATATAATAAAATGTGCAACCTCTACATGTATGTGCAACTATTCGGTGTGGCGTGGTCGAAAAAGCGCTGCGCTTTTACACAAATCTCCCGGGGTCGGTCCGATGGGGCGATTTTTTAACCCTTCTTTTCCTATGCTGATATTGGTGAAACTTCGAGTAATTACAAGTGTTATAGTTGTAGTCTCTCTCGAAATCGTCACATCGGATAAAAAGTCAAAGTTCGTAGGAAAAAAAAATTCGCTGGCCGACCGACCGACATTATACATTTAAGGTGTGTATTTCAATAACTCAACTCATTATCTTAGTTTCCCCCCCCCCCCTCCCAGCTTTGTTCTTCTGATTTTTCATTTGATATGTGTTCATTAAGTTGTGTTTGTTTCAGTACTATTATTATCTGCAATCAAATAAGCATGCTGTTTGTCACTACTATCCTTTCCTTAGAGAACTTTAAACTATGTTTTAATTGTATGTATCCCTCTTTTTGCATTCGATAATGTTAATAGTATTTTGATGGAAGAAGTAGAGAATGGCTCAATGTATATGACTCCTGAAGAATTTTTGAATCAAGATTTAACCAAAAGCAATGCTTTTTCATTGTTACATATAAATTGCAGAAGCCTGCCAAAACATTGTGATGACATAACATCTGTACTCTCAAATCTACACTGCAAAAACCAGGGTGTTGAATTTTTAACACCAGTATGGTATTGAATTTTTTGACACCATTGGTGTTAATTTTTAACACCGGTCAGATTTAAGCATGCAATAATAATTACTTGGTATTAAGTAACATGGTGTTGTTTTATGCTCGGTGTTGAAAGTATTATCACGTGATTTCGTTTAAGGTGGTTGATTGGTCGAATAAGTTTTCACAAAGTGTACGCGCGCTTTATGATTACTTTACACGTGTTCACAGAAGAATACATTTATCATGATTTGTTAAGCAAATTATGACTATGCACATCAATTTTGTGATTTGTATTTTCCTTAGGCAATTATTGACCAATAGATTATTTGTCCGATCTTGTTAAAATTGCATTAACGTTTTAGCAATAGATATATTGATTATAAGATTACTAACCAAGAAACAACATTCATATTTATTATATATATTTGTGTACGAGCCTGTATCATTTAAATGTTAATCTTGAAATTACTTCAAATGAACTATGTGATGGAGTTAATGCAATGGAGATTATAATATACCTATTGGGGTGGACACCGTGGTCGATAATGGTCGATAATAGGAAATATGGAATGTGGGACCATTGAATCAACAAGAATATAAACATCAAAATCGGAATGGAATTTGTTATGATTCCAGATATTGGTGTTAATCTACACCAGTAGGAGTTGTCAAATATTAACACCAAAAGTGGAATTGAAATTATCTAATTCCACAAAATGGTGTTAAGTTACACCAGAGGGGTTGTCCGATATCAGGCGCGGATCCAGGATTTCTTAGGGGAGGGGGCCCACTTTTTTTTTTTTGCTCCCGAAAATTTGAAAATCGCGCGGGCCGAAAGTCGCTCAGGGGGGGGGGGGTGGGTTGGGTCATACAGAGCAAATTTTTTTTTTTTTTTTTTTTTTTTTTTTTTTTTTGCTCCGGAAAATTGAAAAACGCGCCGGCCAAAAATTCGCTCAGTGGGGGGGGGGGGGGGGGGGGGGGGGGGGTAGTGAGCACATTTTTTTTTTTTTTAAACCTCAAAAAAAATTCAATTTGCACCCCCCCCTTGAGCGCCAGGGGGGGGGGCCCAACCCCCAAAAAGGTAAAAATCACGTGATTTTACATGATTTTTTTCAAGGGGGGGGGCCCGGGCCCCCGGCCCCCCCCCTGGATCCGCCACTGTCCGATATAGATACCAGAAGTGTTAAATTGAACACCCTTGGTGTTAATTTTAACACTCTGGTTTTTGCAGTGTAGAACACTCTTTTGGTCTTGTAGCATTTAGTGAAACATGGTTAGATACTAAGGTAAGAAAGGAGTTTTATATTGAAGGCTATAATGTGGAGATTAAATCCCGTAACGACAGGAGAGGAGGATGAGTTGCATTTGCAATTAGGCATGACATAAGGTACATTGTACGCAATGACATTTCGGTCTTTAACCCTCTTTGTGAGAGTCTTTTTATAGAAGTTTTTAAGCCAGGTAAAAATGTTATTGTTGGTGTTTTTTTATAGACCTCCAGATCAATCACAGGCTAATTTCATTGATATCATTAGGAACATATTGTGCAAAGTGTACATAGAGAAAAAGGAGTGTATATTTCTTGGAGATTTTAATTTTGACTTGATGAAACTAGTGCAAAACCTGTGTAATGAGTTGGTGGAACTTTTTTATTCATTTTGTTTTGCTCCTCTAATTACAAAGCCAACAAGAATAACAGATTCCACAGCAAACTTGATAGATAATATATTTACAAATAGTATTTGCAATATTTTTTCTGGTATATTGACCTCTGAAATATCTGATCATTTACCTATATTTGGAGTTTTTGATTTTAAAGGTATTCATGAAGAACAACCAGTGGTATACAAACATCAAATTAATGATATGAATGTCAATTGTTTTCTTAGAGATCTCTCTACAACTGATTTTACCTGTTTGCTTTCTATTTATCATGAGGAACCAAACCTGATGTATGAAAAATTTATGGAGGTTTTTCTGAGATCTATCGGACTTGTTTTCCACTAAAAAAAATAATTTATAAGAAAAATCATGAACCATGGTTTACTAAAGAACTGAAAAGGATGTGTTCAAAAAAAATTACCTTTACAAAAAGTACATTAAAAATACTACTGAACTCCGAAAAGATTGCTACAACAAATTCCGTAATCTTTACACAAACCAAATTCGTAGTGCCAAAAGAAATTATTACTTTTCAAAGTTTCGTACATTTAAAGGAAACATTAATAAAACTTGGAGAACTATTAATGATATTCTCCAGAGAAAGAAATATCAGAAAAATTCCTCTGTGTTTAAGTGTAACAATTCAGTTATAAGTGATTCTAAAGAAATTGCTGAGAGCTTTAATGATTATTTTAAAGATGTTGGTCATAAATTAGCTTGTATGAACAGGAACGTAACGAATATTAATTGTACCTCTTATTTAAATAGCAATTTTCCTCATACTGCATATTTCTTACTCATCACTGAAAAAGAAATAATTAATAATGCTCTATCGTTCAAAAATGGTAAAGCTCCTGGTTTTGACTCCATTGATTGTTCGTAGTGAAAAAGGTTATTCATGTCATATGTAAACCGTTGTGCAGTATTTTTAACTCATGTATTGAGCAAAGTGTTGTACCTGTTGACCTGAAAATTGCCAAAATTATTCCCATTCATAAAAAGGGACCTAAAGATATATTCTCAAATTACAGACCCATTTCATTACTTCCACTCTTCTCTAAAATCTTTGAAAAATGCATCTATACCAGACTACACGGTTTACTTGATAAACATAGTATACTTTATGATAGGCAGTTTGGATTTAGGGCCAGGTATTCAACTGATCATGCTCTTTTAGATTTTTTAATACAAGTATCAAAAACAATTGAAAACAAAGAAATCATTGTTGGTATATTTTTGGATTTTAAAAAAGCGTTTGATTCAATTAACCATGATATCCTCCTTTCAAAACTTTATTATTATGGAATTCGTGGTGTTACTCTTGAATTATTTCGCAGTTATCTAAATGATCGCAAACAATTCACTGTTTTAATTCTAAAAATTCAAGTTTACAATCAGTTTCCTGTGGTATTCCGCAGGGGTCAATTATAGGCCCACTGCTCTTCTTAATTTATATAAATGATTTACATTCAGTCTCTCCCATTTTGAATTTTATACTGTTCGCGGATGATACAAATATATTTTATAAGCATAAAGATGTTGAATGCCTGACCAAAAATCTAAACACTGAGCTCTTAAAGGTTAGTGAGTGGATTAGCGCAAATAAACTGCAACTTAACTATGAAAAAAACAATGTTATGTTATTTAACTGTCCAAAGACGTGTGCTAGTGAAGTAAAAAACTATATATGAATGGAAATCTGATTGAACATACGAGTTCAACCAAGTTCTTAGGCATTAATATTGATAAAGATCTTAAGTGGAAAACACACGTCTATGAAGTTCTACGTAAAGTGTCTAGAACAATAGAAATTATGAGTAAACTTAAAGACATCTTGCCAACCAAAATTCTTATAATGTTTATACTCACTAATCTTGCCTTAAATATCTTATTGTAACATTATATGGGGTTTTGTAAACAGCATTTAGTTAATCGTATTTTCCTCCTACAAAAAGAGCAGTTCGTATAATTTGCCAAAAGCCATTTTCAAGTCCAAGCAGACCTCTTTTCTTGAAACTGAATACATGATTTTCAACTCTGTGTTTTTATGTATTCATATTATCATAACCTATTACCAGAAATTTTGTGTAATATATTTCAGAGCAATAACGATATTCATAGATATAATACCAGGACTTCAGCAGACACTCGTGTAATATATGGTCATTCTTCATTTTCAAATAGTATCTTTTTATGCCAAGGACCCACTATTTGGATCAAACTACCCCCTAAACTTAAACAGTGTGCATCTTAAAACAGTTTTAAGCATCATTTAAAACTTCACCTGATACAGCAAATTTGAATTTGACAAACGCAATTTTTATGGGTGTAATTACCATTGTAGTATTGTATTTTTTTGTCCCCCCCCCCCTTTTTTTGTGTGTACATTTCTAGGATCATCTACTTATAAGTTTTTGTAACTTTTTTAATGAACCAACCACTTCGTAATTTCCTTTAGTGTATTTTCCATTTTAGTGGTTTATCTATGTTTGCAAGAAACTATTGTATTCTTTGCCTTTGTATGTTTTTATGAAAGTGGTGAATAAATTCAATTCAAATTCAAATTCATCTGACCGAGTTCAACTTAGGCATTAAGTACACGAGAATCGAGCGAGAATACCGACACAGCTGACCCGACAGTTATGTCTCTGCGTATCTTTCTTGCTCCCTCGACGAGATGACTCCACCCAACAGCCCTCCTCTCTCTTACTCCCACCCCTCCTCTTTAATGCTCTTACCTCCTCTCTCTCCTATCTTTCACGCCCCGTTTCTTTTGTTTCATTTTCTCTTTTGTTTTCTTCCATTTTTCCTTGACTTTTCTTGTCTTTCTTTTCATCCTTTTAAATTTTTCCTTTGTTTTCTTTTCCTTTTTTCCTCTCATATCTCTTTCGTTTTTCTTTCTCTTCTCTTTTCTTTCTTTCTGCTTTCTTTCCTTTCTTTCTGCTTTCTTTCCCTTTCTTTTTTTTCTTCTTTTCTTTCCCTTTCATTTTCCCCTCCCCATTTTCTCATATTTCTCGACGGCAGCGCAATTGTACCGATAATATCCTGATAGGTGGGTGAAGTGTGGGCACCCCCTCTAGCGACGCCCCCGCTTAGATTTACATAATAACGTTGAGTTCTGGTCATGCGATTGCATTACTTGTAAAGAATAAACTGGGTGGGAGTGTTTGGAAAAGGTTGATCATGTAGCAGATAATCATTGTATATTGAGAAGTAGGGGAGTCATCAAAGTGATAAGAAATTGGCCCAGTCTGGGTAAAAGTCACAATCACTGTACACATAAATTTGTACATGGGACTACACGTGGCATGAAATTGTGGTCCACAACCATTAGCTGTTACGTGCCATATAAGTTTAATATACTATCATACCGATCTTTTGGATCTTGTTGTCTCGATATAGACCCGTTCTTTTCTCGTAATGAATGGATGTCGACTAGGATCCTCATTCGTCGTTACTGCCCAGAAAAAGGCCCATGTGATGGTAAGACCGCCTTTGACATTAAAAACAATGATAGAAAAAAAACTGGCATTAATTTTAGTAAATTGATAAACAATTGATCAACAAATTAATGTGTGACAATTATATATAATATATATATATATGCGAACCTTTATTTAAAAGTACCATGGTAACCATGGTTATTTGGCCAAATTACCATCACCATTCGAACCATGGTAACCATGGTACTTTGTTATTAACTGCAAACAATTTTAGGTTTTCATGATTGGTAGCCTTATAGTCAGATACACGCCTTTTCATGAAATAATACACTGTGGCATTTTCTTTCGGAACTACTCTACAGATGAATATAATTGTTCTTTTCAGAACTACACTCTTCACTCTGCAACTCTTTTGATGTACTCACAACCTTTTCGATCTTGCCAACTCATTCCTTCCTTTTCTCCTCATTTCGGAGGGTACAAACACCGAGAGAAAAGGGATTCTCGTGTAAGTGTTTAATCAAACAGCGGCTACAGTACTTACGTCACTAGGTTAGGAAAGCAGGATATTTGGAATTATATAATACTAGGTTTCAGAATGCGCAATAATAAGTTTCATGTGCCTTTCCAATGTATTTGCATCATTTTATAGGCAATCCAACCCTTGTACTAGGTTAATTTGTATGATTTAAAGTAGATATATAGGGTAAACAGAATGGTGATAGTTTCAAATAAATCGGACGAATACTATGAGAATTAAGAATGTTTGAAATATGAGATCACTAAATACGTTCAAAATTCACATTGGTAACTCAGTTTGTGGATTTTGACATAGACACGGACAACGCTCACGCGTGTACACAAATATTGTTAATTTCTGTTTTTCTCCTAAGTGCCATTGGAGCACTACTCAACATATTGCATGGATACCATAATCACTGTAGGTCATCGACAGCATTACATTTTTTTGAGTTGGGACACATGGAAAAGTAGTCGGATACTACATCACAGAGACATTACCCATTCAGCGAATTTGAAAAGCCTGTTCCTGTACAATTTTTAAAAAAAATGTATAACTTTTTTTTGGTTCGATTTCATTCAAAACTTCACCAGTCTAATTTACTAGAGATTTATTGTAAGCTTTTTTCCTGTTTCCTTTTTGATTTACCGGTATACAACGTCGCATAACTTTATGGTTTGACCATTACATGATAGTGATTAACGCAAACAGCTTTTAAGTGCTTTATACTGATTAAAAAATATATGGTTCATTATAATTCATATTAATTTATCACTGGTCTCTTACCGAAAAAGTAGAAGCTGGCGGGCCATCCAAGGTTAGCACAGATTATTCCAGAAAGTGACTGACCAATGGCAGGTCCAAAGGCCATCCCTAAAACATGAATATTCAGTATACATCATCATGACCATGAATAATATAATTATAATAATAATAATGTTATTTTTTTTTATATAGCTCACATGTCCGTCGCGTAGTGACGCTCCTGGCGCTGCCCCGGTTATTACCCTGGATTTAGCAAGGCGGCCATTACGGCGCTCGAGCATTTCAAGGAATTAATACCTGCCAGGTTCCCATTTACATCACCTGGTGAGTGTGGCAAATGTAGATCAATGTCTTGCCAAAGGACATTAGTGCCGCGGCGGGACTCGAACCGCGTACCCTGTCCCTATGATCGACAGTCCGGTGACGTATCCACTCGACCCACAATAATATTTTTAGTACACAGCAGCTGTGGACCCGAAGTTGTATCAAACTTGCTAGGGGGTACAGGAAAGGAGCTCTCCGGATATATTTATTGAAACCCTGTCTTGCGCGGATACCGCCGCTCTCCTTTAGCAATGTGTGGATACGCCACTGGGGGTTTGCATAGCTAGGTATTTGTAGGGTAAAAATAGTCAATTGTTTAAATTGACAGTTAACAGAATTATTTTCTACTTTGAGCTTTGAGAGTCTTTGCCATCATGTGTTTCTATTCAAAGGACGTAAGTACTGAAAAGGAGAGCGAATATAATCGTATATTCCCACCTGCTACAATAAATGTCATCATTCGCGTTCTCTCGTTGACTGGTGACCAATTATTCACCATGGTGTTAACAGCCGGAAAGATGAAACCCTGTTTGAGAAACGACAAAAACCGCTTTTAAATTCATTACAGGTATTAGATTGTATCGGATCTGTGGAGGGAGACTGTTCTTAGGATGTCCTTGCCGATATACGTCTGTGTAAATGCGTTTTGTACAGTGACAGTGTGAAATCAAGTTTCCTGTCACCTTCAAATTTGTTGCAAGTGTCAGTTATTGATTCTTTCCAGCAATTATTTGATGTGAGAGAGAGCTAAGTGGGTGATCCCAGTTGCACAAAACACATTAAATTTTTGTGAGAAAACCAGCGTGACGAGGTGGATGATTGGCGAGAACGTGGACCGGATTCAAGAGAGATTGCTTGGCAGTGTGCTACCCATGCCAGGGAGAGCCCAGTTGCGCGATATTAGTATTCCAGTTGCCTTTACCAACTGGCTTTTCTGTATTTACTTTTACAAACGATCGCAAAACCTTTAACAAAAAACAACCCTTACAATCATTGCTAAGCCTTATGCACTATCTTTTGAAATTTGCGAAATGACAATGACATATTATCCGAATATGGCTTCAATAGGCATACAACAAGGTAGTTCAATTGCCCCCCCCCCCCCACTCAGTGTTATTTAGGGTACGCATATGCGTGTCCCAAGCGAACCTCCCCCCCACCCCCCCCCCCCCCCCTTTCAGCAAAAGTCCGGTGTGTAAAGTCAATACGGGTCGACCTTTTTCTTTTGTTACGAAAGGACATTTTGGTAACACGCATGGGGTCCGTCCGTTCTCGGAGTGGGGGGGGGGGGGGGGATTGCTCTTCAGTTTCTTTTTGAAATTGCTTTTCAGCGATCGTGTTACTATTAGACAAACCTCTGAAATACCGGCCAGAAAACGTGTTGCGAAGAAGAGTGCAACGCTGGATCGAGCCGCTAGCGGTCCCAAGGCATTAAAAATGGCGCTTCCACAGGCCCCACCAAAAATGATCCACTTTCCTCCTAGCTTGTCTGCAAGCCATCCCGCTGGAATGTTACCTAAGGTATACCCGATGAAGAAGGCGGCTAGGAGGAGCCCTTGGGTGTGACTGCTCCAGTTAAACTCGGTCTCTTTTCATCACTATCCTAGGAATCAGAAACATGGACAAAAAAGCGCAGGAAATGATCCAGGATAAAGGAATAACGGATTGTGTAAATTGGGTCCAATAATAATAATAATAATCTGGCTTTATATAAATAGCGCGAAATACGAAACACCATCTCTAAGTGCTTTACAGATTATTACCCTGGTCATCGTATTCATCATGCAAAATGTGCACCATCTCCACTCCCTGGGGAGTCTTTCTACCATAATGGTCACCATGAGGGAATAGGGCAATTAAACAAATACACTTTCGTCATACTACCAGGTCCCCATTTCTCTCCTGGGTATGGAGTGGCAAATGTAGATTAATGCCTTGCCAAAGGACATTAGTGCCCTCCCCACAAAGTCTGATAATATTGTGGTATTGATGAAAGCTGCATCGACATTTTTCTAGGGTTTCTAAATTTGTAAACTACAGTATCTAGGTTATTAACATCAAGACCGAACGATCGCACTGAACGACCGCACTGAAATTTGAAGCAAAAACTGCATTTTATGTACTGATTTACTGGAATTTAGGAATTATTTTGACTATATATCTGCAAGTGCATATTTTTGATACTTTCTGGACGATTTTCTGGACTTCTAACCTCGGATTTATGGATTTGATGTGGTTTCGTCAAAGTTTTGCGACTACCCCCAGATAAGTAGGCTATGTACACCGTACAGCTGTCGTAGACCCGCACTTGACAATATATGTTCGGTACAAAACTTTTGAACCTGGCCTGTACATCTTGATATAATGTGATATAATTTGATATTTTGACAATTGCATCTTGGAATGCACCTAAAGATTCTTATCTTTGGTCAACTATATTATCCGATTTTTCACCTTTCTGGATATTTATGCTTTTAATGAACCATTTCATGACACCGCTTATAATATCTCTGCTATCTCATACTTCAGCTTCCTGTGACTTTTATGTTACATATTGCAACTTTGGATGTACATAGGCCTTGTCCGTCGTATGTGTATCGGCTTCATTTTCCACCATATTATCATATTTTCCTTCGTTTTTGCATCTAAACTGCAAAGCTTCTACACCCTCTCGCATTTTACCGCCATCATGCCTTCAGATCCATCACGTGATACGGAGGAATCCGTTGCTAATGACGCTATCCAGCGGTACATAAAGGGAGAAGAATTTCTTAATTCAATCCGACAAACAGACCGTCAAGCCTTTCATGAAGAGATCAACGTGATTTTGAAGAGAATTGATATAAATGAAGGGAAGATCATGGACCTTGAATGTCGTTTCATTAGGGACTTTTAGATTCGCACGAAGACAATGGGGATTGCTACGATCGACGTCCTAATAATGCACTGCCTTGAATGGAAGTCACACGTATCAGTCCACGCAAATCTAAAAGTCCCCATTTTTATTTATTTATTTTTTATTTTTTTTCATAGGTTTTTATTCGTTTCTCTCAAAGAAAAATTGTACATTTATAACATTGGATACAAAATAACAAAATAATTTAACATAGGTCTTTATAAATTTACCAATGATCTTTTACATTTACATACAAAAGTTACACCTCTTCATTTTCCTTTGGAGACAAAAAAAATTATATATATAATGAAAATTATATATAATGAAAGGGAGAAGGAGATCGTCGATCTAAAAAAGTTGATTGAAGACCAACAATCATCACTGACCAGGGTCCAGCGCACAGCCAACATCCAAGAACAATACTCGCGACGCAATTGTTTGCGTTTTTTACGGTGTCGCACACAAAGAGGGAAAGGACACTGATGACCTCATTTGTGAGCTTGCTCGAGAAAGGCTTAAAGTGACCTTAAAGAAAGAAGACATCGAACGATCACACCGCCTGCCTACAAAGACTACGGAATCTGTGAACCCCCCCTGCCCGTTCGACAAGAAGGAAAAAACGCAATGACGAAACAAAACCTGACGTCATCATCGCTAAATTCGTGTCGTACCGTATGCGGAGACTTATCTTGTCAAAGCGACGCGAATTGAAAGGCACAAGAATGGGGATCGACGAGAACCTTACCAAGACAAACGCTAACTTACTATCAGAAGCGAAAAAATGTGAGAAGACACTTACTGCATGGTCTTCCGATGGCAGAATACTCGGCCTCTTCCCAACGAGTGGAGGCAAACAAATTAAAAGATTAATTACGAGCGAAAATGACTTAAAGTGACTATTAAAGACTTTTCTCTAGCACTGAAGCTATCACTGACTCTACAGAGACCCATTTCTCCATTGTTATCAATCATGCAATTATTGTGGTGCATTCCAAATCTGCAGTATTTTTGTACTCTTTGAACTTTTTTTTTTTCTAATTCCTTTTATGTAATAGTAGTAATAACTTTTTTTCAAATTTGTGGTAAAGGGTTTTTTATTGTGTAAGTTGCTGTAAGCCTGTTAAAACTAATCAAAAAGGATACAATGTACAAAATGTTGCGAGTGGGTACATATTGCCTGTGTCGGTGTCAGTGTTAACCCTAATAAGGCCGGGCTATTTGAAGTCTTAGTAGGGCCGGGGGGGCCATTATGGCCCCCCCCCCCCCCCTCAAGATCTCGGCCGCGAAGCGGCCGATCGCCGCGAAAATTTGCACGCATGTCAAGTGAAATGTAAAGAATAATATGATCATTTCAATTTTTTGAAAAATTCACTCATTTGCATATTTATGGTAATTTATGCAAATAAAGTCATAAAAATCACATTTTTACCAATAAATCATATTATTCATATTTAAGCATTCTTTTTCACTAGATATATTCATTAGACCATTCTGAATAATAATAAGACAAAAAAATTGGAAGAGCCAGCTTATTTCTTATGTTATCCCTTGTTTTGATAATTTCTTATGTATTTCTTTGTTTTTTTAACTTATGTATTTCATTGTTTTTGTTGTTTTATTTTATCTTTTACTACAATTCAACTATTTTGACTCCCAAAACAACCACCTAAGCTTTAAACAAGACCCAATAACCCATGTTTGATCTGCTTTTAGGAAAAATGACTTTGCCATACGTTTTTGTACACAAATCACGAAAATGAGCGATTTTCAGGCTGACATGCGAAGACAAAAGGTCACGTGACCTTGTAACCGTAGGTCCGATTTTCAAAAAAATTATTTTAAAAGTTGCGCAAGAGACTCGAAAGAAAAGTCAGCGAGCGGCGGGGCGCCATCCATATGCGTTCCCGAGCAATCGGGATAATCCTTTATATGAATTCTTAAATTGGGAATCTCCAAAAATGTTTATTTTTGTACTTGCCTCACTTCATATATGAAAGCAATGAAAGTACACACAGCAGTGATGATACTACAGTTCATTTACCTTTCAGTGATATAAAGAACCTAGAAATAAATGCTGATTTAAAGTATGAAAAATTACAGCAGAAGGGTCTAAAGATTTTACACTTGAATGTACGGAGTCTACTAAGAAACATTGATGAAATTAAATTATTATTGACTAATAATGTTGTACATATATTTTCCATTAACGAATCATGGTTGGATGAATCGGTACCAGATATCGAAATATATATTGAGGGCTTTCGTGTAGTTCGTAAAGACAGAAATCGTAATGGAGGCGGTGTTGTAATATACATAAGTATTGACTTGAATTTTAAAGTATTAGATTATCGTTCTTTAAATGATATTGAAGCACTGCCACTTTTGGTAGATACTAACCATGCCAAACCGTTTATTTTTATGTCTTGGTATCGTCCTCCAAACAGTCCAGTTAGTATTTTCGATTACTACGAGGAATTGCCTTTATTTCTTGATAGTTTTCATTACAACATTATTATCATGGGGAATCTAAATTGTGACATAATGAAGTCGACGTTATCAAACAACACTAAACGCCTAAATCAAATTCACACTTTTTTTTCATTACAACAGATCAACTCTTCAACATGTACGAGAATTTCCGGTGACTCACTAAGTCTAATTGATCATATGGTTTGCAATGCATTGGATACAGTCAAAGCATATGGTGTTGTTCACATTGGGATTAGTGATCATTCCCTTTGTTTCCTAATTTGGAAGTTACATACTAAAGAAAAACTAAAGACTTTAATTCAAATCTATTTATTGATCATTTAAAGTCCCAGCTTTGGCAAAGAGTATTCGATGTCAATGACATAGATGATAAAGTTAAAATCTGGGAAGAATTGATCTTAGATAATACTAATAAGCACATGCCAATTTGCCATAAACGCGTTAAGAGTAGATCTTCCCCTTGGGTGTGTTCTCAAATTACTAACTTGATTAAAGAAAGAGATAAATTAAAAAATAAGATATATAAGTTGAAATTTGAATTGCTTGAACAAAATAATGCAGTTTTAAAGAAATCGAAAGAAGAATTATACGAACAATCATGGATTAGTTACAAGAAACCTAGAAATTTAGTCACGTCTAAAGTAAGGAAACGTAAACGAAGTTATTATTCTGAGAAATTATCTTCTGCAAATTCATCCTCTGATGTTTGGAACGTTCTTAAATCTATTTTGCCTGAAAGCAAATCTAAACAATCTGACATTTCAGAAATCTCTCAAGGCGTAGTAAAAGCTGAACAATTTAACAAGTATTTTGCAAAGGTTGGTGAAGACTTAGCAGCTAATATTCCTCATGTTCCTCCTATTCCTTTTCATGGAAATGTTAAATCCTTTTCTCTTAGACAGGTTACTGAAAATGAAGTTATAAAGGTATTATGTGGTATGAAAAATAAGAAATCTATCGGGACTGATGGCATCCCTATGAACATTTTAAAATTATCTGCTCCAGTGATAATTCCTTCTTTGACTCACATTATAAATACTTCATTGTCACGTGGTGTAACGCCCCTACATTGGAAACAGGCCAAAGTTGTACCGATTTTTAAATCTGGTGACAAAACACATCCCTCTAATTATAGACCAATTGCAATTCTTTCATCCGCTTCTAAAATCATTGAAAAACTTGTTCAAATTCAATTAACCAATCCTTAAAAATAAACAATTTACTTTCATGTGAGCAGTCTGGCTTCAGAGAAAAGCATTCAACTGTTATTTCTCTTGTTAGAGTCACCGATCATGAATGGCTTCGCGCTACTGACAATGGCTTATACACTGGAGTAGTCTTCATAGATATGCATAAGGCGTTCGATACTGTTGACCCATGTATTTTGTTTCAAAAACTCAAATCTTTTGGTGTGTCAGATGATAGACTTGTCTGGTTTAAAAGTTATTTAAACAACCGCAAAATATGTACATGTATGAAACTTGCTGTGTCTGACTTTTCAGAAATCCACTACGGTGTGCCCCAGGGCTCAATTTTAGGTCCAATGCTATTTACTGTTTACATAAATGATGTAATTAATAATATTGATCAATGTACTATCCATTTGTACGCTGATGACACAGTTCTTTATTTTTCCCATAAAAATGTAACAATTATAGAAAATACACTGAACACTCGGTTAAAGCATATTTACAAATGGATGTGTTCTAATAAGCTAAGTCTAAACTTTGACAAAACAGAAAGTTTGTTGATTGGGTCTCGTAACATGTTAAACAAGCGTAATGCACTTAAATTAATTATACAGGGTAAGTGCATCCAACCACAAAAAAGTGTAAAATATCTTGGAGTTATTATAGATTAGCAATTAAAATGGGATAAACATATTGAACATACATCTGCAAAAAAATAGTAAGCTTATAAATTTTTTGGGCCGGCTTCGTCATTATTTGAATGAGTCTAGCTTAAAATTGATCTATCAATCCATTATTCTTCCTATGTTTGACTATGCTGATGTAGTGTACGACTCAAGTAATAAAAAATATAGCACTCAATTGCAAAAGTTACAAAATAGAGCAGGCAGAATTATTCTTGGGATAAGTCCTTTCAAACACATATCAAATTGTAATATTCACCAGATGTTAAATTGGGAATCATTGGCCTGTCGTCGTTTAAAACATACAAACTCCATGGTTTTTAAAATCCTTCATGACCTCAGTGCCCCTTACTTAAAGGACTCCTTTCACTTTGTTAATCACCAATATTCGTTACGTTCCATTGGAAATTTATCTTTACCTAAACCACATACCGAATCATGTCGTAGAATGTTTTCATATCGTGGGGCATCACAGTTTAACGTTTTACCTTTTACTTTAAAATCATCCCGAAATTACAATGAATTCATAAGATTACAAAATAAACATACGTTGAAAACTATCTCCCTTTGAAGTAAAATAATTTTAATATTGATAAATAATTGGGTGGGTGGGGGTTTTGGGTTTTGCTCTTGGGTGGGTGGGGGCATGATACTGTGTAAACGATGTTGTTTTTATATTTCACCAATATGTTAAGAATTTAATTTGTGATATATCATTTTTTCTCATTTGTTTTGTATTGTAAACTGGACCCCTCGGTAGAACAGCTGTGCTGTACTGGCACATCTGAGCAGGGCGATCTATCCAATGTTATTTTCCCATGTTATCATGTATATTGTTATTTATATGTTTTTATATTGGTCAATAAAATAAAATAAAATAAAATCAATAGCACCCAGATAATTAAAAAGAAGCAGATTTCACTGTTAAAACATTGAATGATCAATACAGAAAGCTTTGCACAATAATCAATAAAGCACTACCCTTTCACTATTTCTTGTTGTATATTATGAAAATAGAATAAATGAAATAATTTAAAGTAAAGTAAAGTAAAATAAAAAAAAAGTATAGAACAAAATAAACTGAAATGAAATGAAATGACATGAAATAATACGAAACAAAGCAACGTTAAATAAATTAAAGTGATAATTAAAATAGAGAGATAGATAAACAAAATGAATAAATATGAATGAACTAAATATACAATATTACCTTTGAGTCACTACTTTCACTTATGTTCCTATCATGCATCTTCATGAGTGCGTTGTCGGAGCTCGCAAGATAAGATTCATTCATCGGCGTTTGCGAGGGTAACAGGTCCGATGTTGTGATGTTGAGATGACCGCTCCCAGCCATTATCGCCATGGCAACGCTGATGTTGAACCGCATCATCTGAACGGTGGCTATCCCCAGAAACATCATGCAGGCAAAGAGGAAGCGGATGGGGATAAGACCTTGTGGAAAGAACAGAAGAAGAATATAGACCTACTGTTATACGGGCAAGTCCAAGCTATTTTGTCCTATTTGTTACCGACCACATTGAGGATTTGAGTATTTTTTAATCATTGCACAAATTTGATATCACTACCAGAACTATGCCCCCCCCCCCCCCTCGGAGGGACCGCATTCATATTACCAACATCTACTGTAAGGGGTACCTATTACGCAACAAAGTGTTTTCTTTGTATTATTCCTTATAATATTGTACTAATTTATGCAAATGAAAATGCGATACGTTTTATTCACCATGCCAAATGGGAATACTAACAGTAAATGTGAAAAGATGGGTATACAACTGCAACATAAAAGATGCATCTAAAAACTTTGTATATATAATATGGGAGAGTTCTTTAAAAATCGAATTTTCAGTGACACACGGTCGCAAAATGTTGCATAACATCCGGACCGAATTCGATGCATACGATATATATCTGAACTCTGCATAGGCCTGGGGGGGGTGTTGAGTGAAATATATCGGCGGTCGCGATTTTTTAAATTTCCGGGGGAAAAAAAGAGAAAAAAATTAGTGCTCACTAAATATATAACAAAAAATAGTTTCCTTATTATGGGTATACGCAGACAGATTTGGAATACCGATGAATACTAACGGAAAACGCGCGTTATCTCTTTTTTTTTTCTTCAAACATAGGCCTAAAAATAAAATTGTGGAGGCGAGATTCCCTCAAAAGCTCGAGGCTTGTGATTTGGACCTCATAAAGAGCAAATTAAGACATACGTTACAAAACATAACAAAATAGTGCATATTTCATAATATAAACGAAAATAATAAAAAGGAAGAGAGAGAGAGAAAGAGAGAGAGAGCAGGTGGAAGGGGGGGGGGGAGCGACGTTTGTAATATGTGAGTATAAGGACTACATTCACGGTAGAGGTTTACGGTACACCATGTGTAAAGTCCTAGAAGGACTAAGGAAAGTGGATAGAAAATAGAAGTGAAAATAGAAAGGCGAGAAAGTGGAGATTGGAAGGAAGAGTATCTTTCAGAAGTGAGTATAGTCCTGAAAAGGACTGTAAACCAGAAAGTTGTAGATAGGATGAGAGGTTTGAGTAGAAGACTGGATTGAGTTGGAGAGTTGAGTAGAGTTGCAGAGCAGGAGCAGAGAGTAGACTCGACGTTTCGGACAGGTTGACTGTCCGTCTTCAGGAGTGAGTGACTCCTGAAGACGGACAGTCAACCTGTCTCCAACTCAATCCAGTCTTCTACTCAAACCTCTCATCCTATCTACAACTTTCTGGTTTACAGTCCTTTTCAGGACTATACTCACTTCTGAAAGATACTCTTCCTTCCAATCTCCACTTTCTCGCCTTTCTATTTTCACTTCTATTTTCTATCCACTTTCCTTAGTCCTTCTAGGACTTTACACATGGTGTACCGTAAACCTCTACCGTGATTATTCATACCACCATGCAAACCTTCAAACATCAAGGACTACATTAAAAAGAAAAAATATGGTACGATTAAATAAATAGATTAAATGCATATTAATAAGAAGAATCGTGATCGTTTCAGAGTTATTAGAGAAATAGATAAACAGAATATTCTCGGTTGTTAAATATAGCGTTTATTGATTTTCACCATTGGTGTTTGTAAACGCCTTTCCAGATATAAGCCTTCCATTGTAAATTGTGCAGACCGAAACCATACACAGATCTTTAATGCAAACTCTAAGAATAAGCACCGGTTATTTATTAAAGATAAACTTACATTTTCAAATAGCCTATATATGAAAAAAAAAAAAAAAAATTAAATGAAAACCAAGCATGCCAACCGTGAGGGAAAGATGATAAAGTGAGCAGTTCAGTTTAATAACTGGGGCGCCTTTTTCAAGTTTGGAAGAATTGACGCTGGTTCTGAATAATAATGTCTTCACTAGCCGAAGATCCGTATTATATCGGCATAATCAAACCAATAATCACGGCAGTAACATTTATGGCATAAAACACCGACAAGAACGACAACAGACCGTAGATATAGACCGACAAAACATTACATTACCCGTATATCTGCCTAATATACAGATTGTTTCTTAAACAAGGAAACCCAACTTTCTCCAGCAACATCTCTTTCATATCATGCATATATATGATACCATTATTGTGTTAATTAAGCCTGGGACCATTGAACTATAACCATTTAAAACCAAATAAACAGTTATACATTAATAACTCCTTGAGCCAACCAACAATGTAAACTTGATTTGCGCACCAGAGTATATATATATAAACATACACAACGAATGATCACTAACAGGCCATTTTCGTAATGTAACCAAATATAATGCATTCGTCTTTGTGGAGTGCCTCAATATTACTCCATTCACATGATAACAATACGTGTATAATTTCAATTCAATAATCCGAGTGAAAACTGCGTGTACTTACCGTCCGTTTTTAGATGGGGGCAAGCCATAACGTTTCTCCTATCTAGCAACAAATATGTATGAAATTTGAATTCTGACTATAACTATAGGTCGGGAATTAAATAATTCGTATCGAGACGCAATTGCTTATAATTCCCAAAAGCATATGCATACATTTTATGTTACATTACGAAAATGGCATGCCGCATAGTAGGCCTGTGCCTATAGGATTCCGTGTAAGCAAACCAAAAGTTGGCAAGGCATCTTCATGACATAATTACCTTCCATACTAGATCGAGAGCTGTGATCTAATTTATACCAGCGTGTAGAATATATCAATGGTAGACCCATGTAGATATAAGATAGATATCTGCATGATATTACCGAGCTTGGCGGATCTACGTTGCAAGTTTTAACACTGTTTACTTCCCAGGCTTTTCCAAGAGACAACGCGGTGTGAGAGAGAGGCCAATGATTATCTAGAAAAAAAGCTTTCTAGATAATACTATAGCTATATTTATCTAGATATTTCGCTGTCTCTCATCAATTAATAGCGAGTTTTCTCTCAGCGAGTGACAGACCTTCTACGACGCGGGAGCACCCGGAGCTACGGCCGTCGCACACAGACTGCCCTTGTTGCAATAAGCAGTTTCACTTTTAGGTAGTACGTATAGCACAACAACATCGCAATGCAATGCCAATGAATGCCCGGACTGCACGAATAATCGAGAGGGAGAAAGAAAGAAAAAAAAATCACCGAACCGTTCGCTAGACATACATCAGCTTGCCTTGACCTGTATACACGTGCAATATAATATGGCTATTGTATTGGTAATAGGAAACTACTCTAGAGTAGGGTTGCTCAAACTTTTTCTTTGACGGTCCAGATATGATTTCTATGAAAGCTGTTAGGTCCGAAATATGGGATGCCATTTGCCTGAAATTTAGTTATGGTCGATTGTAAACTTAAGTAGAACATTGCTACTCGTCAATTTAACAATAATGACACTTGTATAATGATATAAGATAAGATAATGAGGGTTGTTTTAGATCTATATCTGATCCAAAGGAACTGTGACAGTTAAACCAAACAAAGCCGCCAGTGTTTCCACTCGTTTAAAGGGATAGTTGAGTTATGTTGCAGAGGGCGCTACACCCTCTAACAGTGATTAACAGTAAATTCTCCGCCAACCATTTTTGAATTTTCCCAACCGTCTTTCCATGAACATTTGACATAAGACATGCTTTTAAAAATCTGTCAACACCTAAATGTCTGGAATTTAGAGCCAATTCATTGCTTTGTGGAGATTTAAATTCACCTAAAATGTAATTAAATTGTAATAATATAGCACGAAAAATAAAACACCTAGTTTTGTCAAAATTTAAAAACAATTTATTGCAAGCATACCATTTATTTAATTTGTCTAGTTCAATATTTGCTGATGATATAAGATTGTCAATTTTGTTATGTGATAATGAAACAGTGGTATCATCAGCAAACAAAGAGAAGTTTAGAATTGAAGAACATTTAACAATATCATTTATGTAGACGAGAAAAAGGAGGGGCCCTAACACAGATCCCTGAGGAATTCCACAGGATACATTTGTTGAGATTTGACACCATCGATCACCACATATTGATTTCTATGTAACAAGTAACTGACGAACCACTGAAGTGGAACCCCTCTAACTCCATAAAATTCTAATTTTGTTAACAAGATGTGGTGATCAATGGTGTCAAATGCTTTTGACAGGTCCATAAATACACTAAGGCAATAATTACCAACATCTATTTCATGTGATATAGTATTAACCAAGTTCAGTACGCCAAGATCAGTAGAAAAATTCTTTCGAAATCCAAATTGTTGGGGTATCAAAATATCATGTAATTTCTGTCCACATCACTGAAAACTGACTTGAGAGTATTAGGCGTATTAACAGGAATAACGGCAAGGACGTATAATGTAAAGAAAAAATAAGACATGATTGGCATTGAGTTTCATGGGTATGGTACATTGTGCTTTATACCACGCCCCAAAGTGGAGAGGGGGAAGAAGAAATAAGAGAAGAAAAAGAAGGAAAAAAGAAAGAAAAAAAAAAAGAGAAGAAACAGAATGAAAGGGGGAAAAAAGTAGAAATGTGTTTTCCTTTTCACTTTTTTTTTTTAACTCTTGCCACTTCTTTCTTACAACTGCTTTTGACATTTGACACTAATAGAGTAATCTGCTAGTGTCACAAATTATGTATCAAAATATGCTCATCTGACCGTAAATAAATGCCTTTAAAAAAAACCTGAGCTTTCGCGGGCTCCGCCTAGAAGCCTCGGGCCAATTTACGCTCCGTGGCTACGCTCTGCTTGATCGCAAATACTTTACCCCCCCCCCCCCCCTCCCCCCCCCCCCCCACCCCCACTTTGAAAAAAGTTCCGCGGGGCCTGATTTATGTGTGCTGTATATCTCTGTTTGTCACTGGCTGCCTTCCGTAGCAACACAGAGTTGACAAAATGATGACTGATCGTAAAGTATGCATGAAGTCTTTCGTCTCTTGTTTTCAGGGCAGGCAGCAACGTTAATGGTTGTTACTCGCAAGATGACCATCAATATAAACATTTTGCTATCTCATTTTCATAATACATACATATATACGAAGTAAATAAGACAACCGTACATGTGACAAGAATAAATTGAATTCTCGCTCATACGGCTTCATCAGGAATTAATGAATTTATTCAATTTGTTCAATCAACAGCATCATAGAAATGAAGTGCGCCAAATGCAAAGACGCAGCGTCAAAAAGCAACGAGCTAAATGTTAAGCGCGAAGCGCAAAAATAGCAATCTGCAATGCACATCAGACAATCCTGGACAGTGTAAACATAGATGAACTCTGTGACGACATTCGTAATGAGATCGGAGACAAGGAGAAAGATTTTCGGACATTAGTATGACTTATAAAATAGTTCTCTAGTTGTTATGTTGTTTCCGATCACCCTTTTTACAATTCACGTCATTGTATCTTTATTTTTTTTATTTTTTTTCACTCATTTTATTTCCTGGTATTTCTTAAAAATCTAATAATTCAGTGAAAAGGGCAAAGCTGGTAGGGGGCAACTGAATTCAGACGTGGATTTAGCGTAATAATCAAATAAAACGTAAAAATACACGATACAATGAAGCGTCTTCTTTTACGAATAATTTAATGAAACGTGAAAGCTTCTGCGCTAAGCGCGGAATGGGCGAAAATGAATACAGACAAGGATTAAGAGTAATAATTTATTGAAACGTTAAAGCTTCCGCGCTTCGCGCGGTAGGGGGGAAACTGAGTTCAGGAAGGACACGATACAACAAATAGTCTTCTTTCACTATTGTGAAAGCTTCCGCGCTTCGCGCAGGAATGGGCGAAAATGAATTCAGACAAGGATTAAGAGTCGAGAATGGTACATCAATCGTCTTCTTTCTTCAATAATCTGATGAAACGTCAGAGCTTCCGCGCTACGCGCGGAGGAAGAGGAGTCGAGAACGGTCCAACGAATCGTCTTCTTTCTCTGATAATTTAATGAAACGTCAAAGCTTCCGCGCTTGGCGCGGTAGGGGAGAAACTGAATTCATGAAGGACACGATATAACAAATCGTCATCTTTCTCTAATGTGAAAGCTTCGCGCAGGAATGGGCGAAAATGGATTCAGACAAGGATTAAGAGACGAGAATGGTACATAGGATCGTCTTCTTTCCTTAATAATCTAATGAAACGTCAGAAGGGGAAGGGGAACTTGATTCAATTATTAAGGATTAAGAGTCGAGAATGGTACATCGAATCGTCTTTTTTCTTTAATAATCTGATGTAGCGTCAGAGCTACCGCGCTATGCGCGGAGGAAGGGGAACTTGATTCAAGCAAGGATTAAGAGTTGAGAATGGTACATCGAATCGTCTTCTGTCTTTAATAATCTAATGAAACGTCAGAGCTTCCGCGCTATGCGCGGAGGAAGGGGAACTTGATTCAAACAAGGATTAAGAGTCGAGAACGGTCCAACGAATCGTCTTCTTTCTCTAAGGACCGCGCTTCGCGTGCTCACTACCGCCCCCTAAAATGAAATCCTGGCTACGCGCTTGGGAGAGGTGCAACTTGCCACACGCTTCTACCTCTTGATTGCTTTGATCCATTGCCGAAAATATTTTGGCACCTATCATCCCCCCCCCCCCCCCCCCCCCAACCACGGATACAAATCGACACCCTTGCCTCTATCTCAGGTGTGTAAAGTCAGTAACGTCCGGAATTGTGTGTATTACGGGCCGGACTTTGTTGCGTAAAAAGGATTTTGGGAACACAAATTCGGTCCATCCGGCCCCGGAGTGGGAGGGAGTGAGGGTGAGCTTTCTTCTTTATCTTTTCTCCTTTTCTCTCTCTCTCTCTCTCTCTGTTTCTTTTCTCTTCTTTCTTTTCTCTTCTCTTTTTTTTTTCTCTTCTCCTTTCTTTTCTCTTCTCCTTTTTTTTCTCTTCTCCTTTCTTTATTCTTTTCTTTTCTTCCTCTTTTTTCCTTTTTTTTGCGCCGCCAATAGGGGGGGGGGGCCGTGGCCGCTTCGCCCCCCCCCCCCTGGATCCGCCACTGGAGTTTGAGTTCTGGAAAATAAGATTGGGAAAAGCCCTACAAGACCCGTGTTTGATCATTCTAAACGCGACCGGGCGTAGCCCTTGATGAGAGAGTGGATTGCCATCAATTTCTCGCCAACAACACTGTAAAGATTATTGTTAACATGAAACGTAACTGCCCTCCTTTGGCGGAGTAGGGGGCTGGATGGAGGGGACATTTTTTTACAGTGTGACGACTCCGAAATACCATGGACCGAATGATTGTCCTAAAGAATTCCGCTTTAGGCAGAGAAATGAGGGGAAAGTTGAGGGCTGACTACATGTTTACATCACTGCGACTTGTTTCTTTCACTTTCCAAGATGTTTATCGCACAAAAGACCCCGATTTGCGTTAATAACTTCCTCCCCACCAAAATAAAAGCTGATTTGTTCCTGGTGGCTGTCAAACTACTTTAACTTCCTC